GCTGCGGGGAGTAGTGTGGCGATGAGCATGGGGGTGAAGATGTCACTTGGGCAGACTCATTTCATCTCCTGTGGATGTATACAGCCAGGAGTGGGATTGCTGGACCATACAGCAGCCGTGTTTGTAGCTTCTTGAGAAACCCCTGCCCTGTTTTCCAGTGGCTGCACCTGTGCGCGTTCCGGCATCCTCACCAGCACTCGCTGTCTTCCGGTGAGCCTGCTGGTCACCATCTGAACTACAGTCAGGCATAGGTATCTCATTGCGGTTTTGATTTGCATTTCCCTGATGCTTGGCGATGTGGAGAACATTTTCATGTACTTAATGTTCGTCTGTATGTGTTCTTTGTTTTTATTTATTTATTTATTTTGACAGGCAGAGTGGACAGTGAGAGAGACAGAGAGAAAGGTCTTCCTTTTTGCCGTTGGTTCACCCTCCAATGGCCACCACGGCCGGCACGCTGCGGCCAGCGCACCACGCCGATCCAAAGGCAGGAGCCAGGTGCTTCTCCTGGTCTCCCATGGGGTGCAGGGCCCAAGTACCTGGGCCATCCTCCACTGCACTCCCTGGCCACAGCAGAGAGCTGGTCTGGAAGAGGGGCAACCGGGACAGAATCCAGCGCCCCGCCCAGGACTAGAACCTGGTGTGCCGGCGCCACAAGGCGGAGGATTAGCCTAGTGAGCCGCGGCACCGGCCTGAAAAGAGTCCTCACAGCTGTCAGGGCTGGGCCAGGCTCCCTCCGAAGCCTCTGGGGAGGAGTCTTCCTGCCCCTCCCGGCATCTGGTGGCCCTGTGTTCATGGCTTCGGTCTCTGCAGGTCTGCAGCGGTCCTTCTCCTTGGTGCCTGCACTTCACAGGGACTTCACGTTGGATTAGGACCCACGCCCATCAAACAGAGAGTTAACTAATCACAGCCACGGTGGTCCTGTTTCCAAATCAGGTCATGTTCATGGATGCCAAGGTTCAGGGCTTTAACGTCATTTTTAGGGACGACACACAATTCAGCCAGTAACAAAGAACAATGCGATCTTTTTGTTTATTTTTTTAGATTTTATTTTATTTATTGCAAAGAGCAATAGAGGAATGGAGGGAGTGAGGTAGGCAGACAGGGGCTGGGGAGAGGAAAAAAATGGAGAGGTGGGGGAGAGAGAGACCTTCCATCCACTGGTTCACTGTCCAGATGACTGCATTAGCCAGGGCTGGTCCAGAACAAAACCAGGAGCCTGGAGTTCCATCCGGGTCTCCCACATGGGTGGCAGGGGCTCAAGTACTTGGGCCACCTGCTGCTGCCTTGCCAGGTGCATCGGCAAGGAGCTGGGTCGGAAGCGGTGCGGTTGGTACTCAAACTGGCTCTCTGATACGGGATGCCAGCCTTGTAGGTGGCAACTTAGTTCACAGTGCCACAACCCCAGGGCTGATACAGTTCCAATGAAATCAGTCATCGGTAGATGGAGTTGGAGCAAGTAAGCCACTTGTATGCATTTCACATCACTTGGGTCCACTGTCTGAATTATTTAATTTTAATTTTTTTGCTGGCCTGCTGCTAAGCAACTATCAAGAATACGCCCTTCCATGTTACCTCGGCGGTCGTCGTCATCATGTGTTTCATGGAGTGAGTGACTCCAGATGGGGTGGAGTCACAGGGCGTGGCACACAGCCGAGTGCCCTGGGACAGCTGAGCGCCACTGGGCTCAGCACTTCCTCTCCTGCAGCGGGAAGAGGTGGGAAGATTACATGCCCCCAAGTCGCCAGAGCTCCTCTCCCCTGCCCCAGCCGCACAGAGTTCGTAGTGTTTCCAGCAGCCTGAGCCTACAGGGTGGACGTTGCAGAGTGGTGCAGGTGCATCTGGAAGGAAACGCGCATCTTCAAATTCTTCTCCAAAGCACAGTGCCACTCGAGATGGAGTACTTAAGGCTCACTCTGAATGCACGCTGGTGACTGTGTCTGATCCAGGATAGACTCGTGTGCTTCCTGTCTGGGAAGCGTGATCCCCGCTAATTCTTTTTTTTGTTTTTTGTTTTTTGTTTTTTGTTTTTTTTGACAGGCAGAGTGGACAGTGAGAGAGAGACAGAGAGAAAGGTCTTCCTTTGCCATTGGTTCTCCCTCCAATGGCTGCCGCGGCTGGCACACCGCACTGATCCAAGGCCAGGAGCCAGGTGCTTCTCCTGGTCTCCCATGGGGTGCAGGGCCCAAGCACCTGGGCCATCCTCCACTGCACTCCCAGGCCACAGCAGAGAGCTGGCCTGGAAGAGGGGCAACCGGGACAGAATCCGGCGCCCTGGCCGGGACTAGAACCCGGTGTGCCGGCACCGCAAGGCGGAGGATTAGCCTAGTGAGCCGCGGTGCCGGCCGATCCCCACTAATTCTGCAAGCCCAGGGGGTCCTGAGTGACACCAGGCATTGCCAATCTCCTCCTGAGCCTCCAGCCAAATGCCTGACACCTCGCAGGTGCTCAATGTGACGACTGGAAATGCAAATGCTGTGTTCTCTGATACTTAGCCAGACAGAGAGTGCTAGAAATTGCCATTTCTGGGATCCGAAAGTCCAGGTCTTTTTTTTTTTTAAGATAAATTTATTTATTTGAGAGGCAGAGTTACAAACAGAGGGGGAGACACAGAGAGAGATCTTCCATTCACTGGTTCACTCCCCAAATGGCCACAACAGCAGGAGCTGGGCCGATCAGGAGCCAAGAGCCTCTTCCGGGTCCCTCACCTGGGTGCAGGGGCCCAAGGACTTGGGACATCTTTCACTGCTTTCCCAGTCCATTAGCAGGGAGCTGGATCAGCAGTGGAGCAGCCGAGACTCGAACTGGTACCCTTATGGGATGCTGGCGGAGACTTGACCCACTGTACCACAGCGCCGGCCCCAGTCCATGCCTTGAGTTTTGTCAACTGCCTATTCTGATGGACTGCATTAAGACTGAATGTGGATTCTTGGACACTGGTTTACTTGCTAGAAAGAAAAGCTGTAGATTTCTCAAATATTCGTCAGCAAATAGCGCCTTTCTTGTGTTGGACATAACCTGTATCTCACTGGACAGAGAAGAGGAAAAGAGTGAAATTGTTGCTTGTTGAGGAATTGAAGCTTAGTTGACTGCAGTTTTTACTAATATTCTACATTTCAGCCAAAATCAAGTTCAGGTTTTTGCCTGGATGTTCAGAAGTTAGGCTGGGCGGGCCCTGTGGTTGAAAGCAGGAAACAGCGCAGTGCCATGGCTTCCCTCCCAAGTCAGGTTGCCACGCACGGTGCCAAGGAACACCAACTAGCAGAGTCAGATCCGTGAACAGCGTGCGATGCCAGTGCCCAGTTGGGCTGCGCATTTGTTTAATTTAGTAAATTCTACTTTCTTCCTTTCCACACGGTGACCTAAAAAGAAATATGAGTCCCCCGAGTGCCTTTGCGATTGTTTGTTTAAATTAAGTTTCCTTTGGATTTCATCTTCACCAAATCTTCGGAGAGCCGGGCCGGCTCCCCGCGATGAATCGCCGCGTGTGGGAGCCAATGAGAGAGGCTGCCAACCTGCGAGGAACCCCGCTTGAAACGAGGGGGCCCCGTAATGTCACGCTTGGGCGGCACAAGCAGAGTGCCGGATGATTAGTTTATGGCCTGGATCATTGTGTTTTTATTACACTCATAAAATCTGTGTTTCTCCTCATTTTCGTAATGGCTTCCGTGAGCTTCTGCACCTTCCAAAGGCGCGTTAAACGGCTCTGGGAGGGGGGTGCTGGCTGGGTGGAGCAGGCTGCAAAGCCGGAGAAAGTCAGAACCATACCTTGAATTCTCGTCTTGTTGTGGGATTGCCACCAAGGAGAGAGCAAGTGCCCGGGGAGGCTTGAACATCGTTCGTACCCACTTTTCCATGTTTTTGTAAATACATCAGTGGTTGCCACTGAATTCCAACATCGGTGGCACACACTGAGGTGCTTAGGAGCGTTCACACTCCCTATCACAGGGGAATAACGCTAATATTAAATACCATGCACATGTCTGACTTTTAAAACCGCATCTAAAGGGGGAACTAAGAACTGCGATGAGGAAACATTGTATATCAGAGGATTCGTGGTTTTTTTTAAGTAACAAGTACTTAACTGGATTTTTGGTATCTGTACAAGTAAGTAGTTAAGAGAAATCGAAGCTGTCTTCAAAACCAGATTTCCACGTAAATGCAGTTGCTGATAAATGTCTCTGTGCAGGAAAAGCAGACTTCTCTTCCCTCTGCAGTCTAGTATGCGAATGTAATCTGCAGACGCCCCATCAGTGGACCCCGGAGAATCCGTGCATTTCGGTCATTACGCTGCGAGTGTCGGGACAGCGGCTTCCGGCCACCGAGTGTCGAGTTTGCAGAGGTGTTCATTTGGACGGCATTAGTGCTGCGGTCATTCTCACGGGTGTACATGTGCCTCCGTGGGCTCCTGGTGTCCCGGGGGCTGTGTGTGCAATGTGGCTGCCATGAATTATTGAAGCTGTTTTGGACTTGCTCTGAGAAGCATTGGGATAGTTTCTAAGAAAATGAAAGCCGGGCGGTAAAAAACGCCGCTTCCCGCACCCTCTCAGAGCCTGCGTCTGAGTGGGGAGCAGCTTCACAAAGCGGACAGCTTCCCGGGCTGTGCAAAATCTAGCGACAAGCCCCTGTGGGGAGGAGGCTCCGGGCCCGTTTCCGTCTGCGTGGCCAGGAGAGGCGCGCGTCTTCCTGCACGGCTCAGCCTGCCTGCCCCCTGCTCTGCTCTGTGCTGTGTTACACAAAGTGTCCCTTACAGATTGAAAGTTGGGAAGCCACGCAGCCGGACACAGGGCCACAGAGCTGCTAAATGGTATAGAATGCATTCCCAATTTTTTTTTTTTTTGTAACGTTTCATGGAACATGCAAACTGGTGTATCCAGGCACACGCGGGCAGCTGCGGAGTGGAGCTGATGCGGGCCGTGTCTCTCTGAGTGCAGGGATCGCGCGTGCCACGTGGTGCCGAGGCAGTCACGCTGTGGCCACGGGCTCTTCTTTTTCTGCAGATGGTGTGGGAGAGCGGCTGCGTGGTGATTGTCATGCTGACACCCCTGACGGAGAACGGCGTCCGCCAGTGCTACCACTACTGGCCCGACGAAGGCTCCAACCTCTACCATGTCTATGAGGTACTTGGACGGCACCCGGGGCAAGGAGCGGTGCACCCTGGTCCTCGGGGCTGCCCAGAGAGGCCACCTGCAGGCCTTCCTGCGAGGCTGGGGACTGCACCTGCTGTCCTCGGGGAGTTCTGGGCTCACACTGCCCAGAACCCTGTGCCTGGCTGAGGGGTGGGGAGGTGGGAGGGAGCTGGATTCTGCAGTGGCAATGTCCTTGTCCCCTCCAGAAAGTCATCAGTCTGAGTGCTGACAGTATTTTGAGAGCTTCACCTCCCAGGGCAGACCAAGCCCGGTGTCCCAGGCCTTTAGGAAGGGCGCACTGTGAACAAGAACTCCGCCATTATTCTGATTGCTTATCGAGCTCCTTGTCTGAGCCACGTGGCCTCCCCGTGGCTGAGCTTGGAGTTGTGTGTGTGCGGCATCCGACCTTTTCATCCGGGGATAACCCGCCGACAAGTGTATTCCTCTCACCGGGTCTCCCACCCGCATCAGGGATAAACTTGGGCAGTCCAGCAAGGACCGGAAGGTACCATGGCTTCGGTTTTGCATTACAGTCGGCCAGGATGCAAAGACCACAGTAGGACGCCTGGTAGAAGCTTACGTGTGGGCCCGCAGTCACAGCACTGTGGCTTTTTTGTCCCAGACCGAAGGCTCGAATGTGAGAAGCGACTGACCTCGGGTCCACCTCCGTGTCGCTAGATGGGTCTTTTGTTTTTCTCTGCCCCGCGCCAGGCGTATGCCACCCTGGGCAGAATTTCAGTGGAAGTAGAACCACTTAGCAGAACATGTACTTACATTGGTGCTTTTGTTCGAAAGTCGACTTTTTCTCCATTTCTTTCTTTTTTTTTAAATTTTTATTTGACAGAGAGAGAGAGACAGAGAGAAAGGTCTTCCATTGGTTCACCCCCCATATGGCTGCTACGGCTGGCGCACTGCGCCGATCCAAAGCCAGGAGCCAGGTGCTTCCTCCTGGTCTCCCACGGGGTGCAGGGCCCAAGCACTTGGGCCATCCTCCACTGCACTCCCGGGCCACAACAGAGAGCTGGCCTGGAAGAGGGGCAACCGGGACAGAATCCGGCACCCATATGGGATGCCGGCGCCACAGGCGGAGGATTAACCAAGTGAGCCACGGCACGGGTCCCCTCCATTTCTTTCTCTTGAAGATTTCTGACTTAGAGATGTGAAAGACGAGAGCTAGAAGAGGTTTGGATTGTAGCCTTTTTGTGTGATTTTCAAGCCGCTAAGTGGCATTACACACACACACACACACACACACAGAGCGCTATCTTTTGTGTGAACTGAGTTCAGATTGAGAAGCAGAAGGGGCCAAGTCCACCCACAGCTGCACTGGAGAACTTGTCACCCTCTCTCCGCTCACGGTGCCTGTGGCTGCTTCTCTCTCCCTCTCCCCCTCTCCTGCTCCCAGGTCAACCTGGTCTCTGAGCACATCTGGTGCGAGGACTTCCTGGTGCGGAGCTTTTACTTGAAGAACCTGCAGACCAACGAGACACGCACGGTGACCCAGTTCCACTTCCTGAGTTGGTATGACCAGGGAGTCCCTTCCTCCACGAGGCCTCTCCTGGACTTCCGCAGGTAAAACCCACAGCCCAGCTGGCCGGTGAGCGCCGCAGAGAGCGGACGTCAGAGAGAGGGGAGCGCAGTGCATGCCCAGTGTCCTTGTTTCTGACAACGCCCCGGCTATGAAGTGTACCACCTGCATATAACTAGGGGGACGGGAGGGAGAAGGAAAAGACAGAGTGGGGGAGGGGAGGGGGCAGGGAGGGAGTGAGGGGAGGCTGACTCTAGCTATAATGATGGTGCGGTACTTTCTAGCTTTAATGATGTTAAGATGTACGGGGGAGTTAGGCCTCTTGGAACCGTGGAATTATAGCCATTCTTTTCCATAACGTTCTTCCACGGACAAAAAAGCCCCCAAGTTTATACTTCACGGAATATCGATGAATAAGAGCCCAGATTTTCTTGGTTTGGATACTCATCGGCTTGCAAATGAGGATGCGCTTGAACAAGTGTAAGCCCAGCTTCTAAAAATGGGTCATGTTGGATGGAAGCCTAGATGTAGTTAGCACATGGCTGTATGTATTTTTAGTGCGATTTTGCAACTGACAGGTTTTTTTGAATATCCATTTTTTTTTCTCCATCATTGCTGTAGTCAGTCACCCACCCAGTGGTGAGTTGTCCTGTGTTAAAAGTGTAGTCATTGAACTGTTGAAGCAAAGGCTAGAATCTGCCTTGTGGGAAGATATTGACAATGCAAAGGAAAAGCAAAATTCAAGACAGAAGCTTTGCTTGTACGGTGATGATGGTTGGTTGGCGTGGGCTGCTTGATGGCGGTAAATGAGTAGAGAGCCCCAGAGAATGAAGCCCAAGCACCATCAATGCCCATTCCAAGTTTTCTAGAATTTCCCTTCTATGTAAACCTGCCCATGAAGGGAAACAGATAAACATTCCAACAAGGAACGCAATGACAAGGATAGCACGCGATTGAATCCAGTATAATGTGTTACCCTAAAGTGATTTGTATCTGAACAGTTTATTCGTCCTTGAATCTACCGTTGTGTCATGCAAGGGAGGTTGAAAAGGCAAGTATTGCCATGAAGGTGGAGTTTCAGACTTCTCTCTGAATGTCTTGAATTTGTGCGTTAGAGATTCGCAAGTGTATCGTGACACAGTTTCTTTTGCCTTTTAGTCCACTTTGAAAAAAACAAAACATACTCATTGGAACCATTCTTTGGATCAGATAGCATGTGCCAGAGCTCAAGGAGAGACACGAATTTGGTGTCACCTTCAGCGAGCCCTGGTCGTGCCCTGTCCCCTCCCCCTAGAAGCAGAGACAGATTCAGAATCATGAACGCATCATAAATTAGCTCCTATACATAGTTCTCTCCTAAGCCATCCTCATTGCCTGGCCATGATGTACATTTTCTCAGCATAAATGTATTTCTAAAGATATGCTACGTACCTGATCTCCTAAAACACTCTCCAAATAAAGTCACTCCTGGCGAGACGGATGTAGCTAGAGAGATGGCAGTTCATCTCGACGCCCGTCTTGCTGCTCCTGCGACGTGTTTGTCATATATGCATGTGGGCATGTTCCCATGCCTGCATCCATATATGGAACTCAACACATGCATCACCAACCCTCTGTGTACAATTCATCACGAAGAAAAATTGGATTCTCCAAATTCCCCTGCTCCGGGGGCTGAGGGGCTGCCCCAGGGCCCAAGAAAGTCCGCGTGTTACATTAAAAGGAAGACGAACCCCAGACAGCGCCGGAGGTCTTGTCCCAACAGGAAGGCTCCCCTTGCTCACCACAGGGCTCCAGTCCAGGCCCCACCTTACGCGCATCGCCCGGACGACTGGGACCAATGCCCCCATTCTCAGAAGGCCTCCCGCTTAGACACGCATTGCTGATGGGCCGTTTCTATGCCCCGGTTCCAGCGACCGGGAAGTGGGGATGGCGGACTTGAAGACACCGGCCTCTGGGAGGCGACAGGGTTTCTCGTCTGGGGACAGTAGTGCCAACACCCTCACTCTGGCCTGGTGCGTTCGCCGGGCACCAAGACGTGTCATTACATGTTTCTGGAGCCCGGAGGGGACGCATTTATGCTTTAAAGCGAAACGGCTAAGAGATAATTAGCATTACCTGTGAGGGCTTTGCTTTTTAAACCTCTACCTCTCTCGCTCTCTCTCGCTCTGGCTCTCTCTCCCTCTCTCCCTCCTCGCTGTGTGCAATGGCATCCACTAACGCCGCTCACTGTAGAAATGGACAAACCCTTACTTTGCCAGCTAATTAGCGGTGGCCAGTGTCATTTTTGTGATGTTGCAGCTAGTAATATGAGCCCAGTTGCATAGTCACAAAAGTGATCATTGGAAACTGTGTCTGTGCTGCAGGGACATGTGGGAAGCCCCTTTCTGAGCCTCTAACGACCTCTGACCTTGGCTTGCTGTCCGTTTGCTTGGCGGTCCGTTCTCAGGGACCCGTGGGTCGGTTTGTATGACTAATCATTCTTTCTCAGTGGATTTCTCCTGTCGAAGTCTACATGATCCCAATTTTTCTTGATGTTGGAGACCTTCCGTTTGCCGATGATGGGTTAGATGAGACCGCTGTGCCTTGCTCATCTCCATGAATAATCTGCTGTCTACATCTTAGGTCAACGGGATGGACGCTTTGGCTCAAGATGCAATGGTTTTGCTTCTTCTCTTTGCGATGGTTCACACTGTAATGCTCCAAGCGCATGGGTCTCTGTAATAAAACTCGACACCCTACCACCTCGGTGTGTTCGCACTGCGAGACTCCTTGATTGCTTGTGGTTGTTTGTCAATACTTGTGTCACGAGGCAGGGCTGGTGTGGATATGAAAATTACAACGAAACCTTGCTAAGGCTTGCCGGGGCAGCCAGTCTCGGCATGTTGGAGAAAATGATGTGTTCGCTATGCCGTAAAGCCAAGGCGGAAATTATAGGAGTGGAGGAGCAAGTGATGGCCGCTACCGTCATTTGCCTTTTTGCAACGTTTCTTAGCCAGAGAGTTTATTATTACATTTTGCCCAAAAGGGAGCTGAACGGAGCTACACATGAGATACTCCTGTTCTACTGATTTCTTATATTTGTGTTTTCTTAAACCAGTACAGCTTTTTGAAAGGTCTCTGGTTATTGTGTTTATTTTTTTAACATACTTTTCTGTGTGTGCTCGATCCCTTCAGGAAAAAATATATATATTGACCGATATATACAAACATGCAGAAGTTGAGTTCAGTCTTCAAAGACACAGACTGAACTGTCCAGGGTGAAATACAATAGAAAGTGGGGAGAGGTACAGCTGTGGTCGCTCACATTAGGAAGATTCAGTGGCTGAGAAATTTCCAGTAAAACCTACTTGCAGATCAAAGGCCTATAAAAGTAAAGCCGCCCAAGATCTGGTCTGATGGTTGACAGCGCCTGATTCTACACAGGCACAGGAAGACACGTCACACATGCACGTGTGCGCATGAACACGTATCACACAGGCACACGCTGACTCACATGCATACACACATGAAGACACGTGCTGTATTGACCGGTGGGCCCCGTGGCCCCTGCTGAGGTGCCATGGATCTGTTTGTCAAAGCCAGGGCTCATGCTGCCTTTACAACCCGTGTTGGGAGTGGGAGATCTTAGAAGCGGAAAGGAGTGAGCCTATTTTCCAATCGGTTTATTCTCCAACAAGCAAGACCACATTCTGGATTACAAAGAGTTCGTTTTTGCTTTCTCTGCCGTCCCCTGAAGCCTTAACATCACAGTGTGCACCATAAACAGTGCAAGGCTCGGGCAGAAATGGTGACGTGTGGTCCCTTCACTTGGCTCGATGCGTGTGCCTGAGCCTTCTCCATTTTGGGTGAGCCGCAAGGCGTAGGTGCTGCATACTCTCACAGACTAGTGAGCAGCCATAGATCGACTTTGCTGAGCGATTCGGGGCTTGGAACGTGGTCGGTCTGTGGCTGGCTGCTCTACAGCCTGCCCCTTAGAGCCCCATTATGCTATCCAGGTTGAAGGGTGCAGACGTCTGGCACAAGGACCTCATTCTGCAGACTCCATAGAGGAAGTAGGAAAAAAAGAAAGAGACCCATCTGGTCTCTGGCTGCATGACGTCCACAGTCCCACCAGGATGCTCACTTTGCCTCCTTCCCACTGCTGGCTTAGGGCAGAGCAGCCACTGATTGCATTGTTCACTTTCGGGTGACTGTTTGCACACTAAGTGGACAAGCCTTTGCAAAGAAACATATTCCCATTCCTGGCCCGAGAACAGAACGTTTTCTGTACTGCTGCTTATTAAACTTCTAATTTATGTCCCGTGTCGTAGGAGTTCATACAAGGCAGTTTAGAGTACTTCTTGCACATTTTTTTTCCCTCCCAATAAACAGAGATCTTGTCTGCTGTTTTCTTTATATACAAATATTTAGCTGAGAATTCTGCAGTACTTTATAAACATATAGAGTCATTTCGCTGGATTAAAAAAAAAAAACTTGGCACTTATACAGGGAAGTGAATTAAGAATTATCTAACGACGTCCTCAATACATTCTCTGTGTCAAGTTTTGTAACTCCTGATCTACAGTCTGCATAGTGCTGTTGTCTGAAAGTGCATTCGAATTTTTAAAATGGACAAGACTTGTCTTGCAATTACCTGAGGTTTCTCTGTAATTTAGATATCCTTGCCACAAAGGGACAGGTCCAAATGGATCTTTAAGATGCTGCATGTAGACAATACAGTGATAGTAAGTCCCGGTATGCCTGCAAGAGATTTTAAGCATAACTTGAAAAACTCAAAATATTTGGTCAAGAATCTAGACACTCCATATCACAGCCAAACGTCAGGTCAGTGGACGCCCAAAGAGAAAATATGGAGGAGAAGGCCAGGAAAGGTGGGAGCAGGAGGAAGGGGGTGCAGAACCAGAAACCTGGAGTTCATAGTCTTAAGTGGAAAAAAATCATGAAAGTGTAAAAACTGTTTTAAATCTGATAATTCAATATTGAAAAGACAAATAAATCCTTGAACTTGTGTGTGTAATTTTGTTCTTGTTTGTCAAAACAGGCTATTGCAAAATGGTTTCAAAGATACAGACATTTAGCTTTGGCTTATTAGCTAACATGGAGACTTAGTCCGTAACTATAATTTTCATATCTCTTTTTATTTCAGAAAAGTAAACAAGTGCTACAGGGGCCGTTCTTGTCCCATAATTGTTCATTGCAGGCAAGTACCACTTTTAGCATGGGTTAAGAAGTTTTTGCTACCTCAAAGAGAAACTGTACAGTTATACATAGAAGTTGAACTTTCTGGTTGCTTAATGAATACATCTAACTGGTGTTTTTAAAGGAAATCAAAGATACACACTTACTTTTCTAGGCTTTTCTATTTATTGACTAAATAAAAGCCTGTGTTTTATTTCCTGATTCCTGAAAGAGCTGCACCTGTCATATTCCATTGCTGGCAAGCCACTGGGTGCTGTGTGAGATAATCTATTTCCACATTTCCTGTCCTATCACTCTGTCTTGACTGAAACCCTCAAGAGGCCACTACACAAACTTGGAGACAACGGTTTTGTTCTATTGCATCGTCTCAGCCAACAGTACACTTAGCAAAGGTTTGGAGCCCTGTGGACAAGGTTTAAAAAAATATGCTTAGGGCTACTGCTAAACAGGGACAAAACCTGCCAGTACCAGGGGCATGGCCACCTCCAGTGTGTCAGGTGCTTCTGGGCCTCTGGGCAAAAATGCCATGACCCACATCCCTAAGTAGGTTAAGTAAGAAGCCACACCAGTAAGAAGAGACCCACTCAGAGCAAACCCAGCCTTGTGGCACCATTTCTACTGGACTTGATGGCCAACTACTTTGGGTAAAGACCTCATCCTTCGTTTTTCTAGAACTTTCTTATAGGATGCTCTACTCTGCCTGGAATACAAAGGAAATCTCCCTCCAAGGATCAGACGCCAAATGTATCAGTGCAATCCAGAAGCAGGTGTGTCTGGGTGTCCATGTGGGCTTCTGCCCGTCTATAAGAGAGGAAGATGAAAACCGAGTAGGGTTTGTTAGCTTCAAAAACCAAAACAGACCGCCTTCACCCCCATCAGTGTACCAAGACATGCTACAGTGAGTCGGGAGATTTATCGGAAAACATCCATGTGAACAGGTGCTCTCCCTGGGAGACATGTGAGGGAAACACTGAGCAGCAAGCCCCGCCCCCGCGGTCGCGTATAGTGGACGGTGAAGACTGACCAGTGAGCAAGGCTGCTGCTGCCTCCCTGGCCTGATGATGCAGCAAAGCACGTTGGGTGCGACGTTTATCTTTCCACATGCAGCTGCTTCCCACCCTGACTCTGCTGTGACGAGATCAACCTGGCAAGAGAGACTTACCCATGAGTCCTTGGGATTACGGGCCAGTATGCAAATCAGAAGCTGAAAGCCCAGTGGTTTGCCGGTGACATCATTCTTGACCTCTACAAATGGAAACATTGACTTTTTCAACACTGGATTTTGCTAGGAGTAGAAATGTAGCAAGCTCTCCACTTAAAAGGTGGCTGTGGCGTGAGCAGAAGCCCTGTCGGGTGGGAATTTCCAAAGCATCTCTCAAACGTCAATGACTTGGTGACAACACCCACGAGGGGACAAGAAATGGCTCCACACATTCCCCCTGTGAAGGAGGGCTGGGTCTGGGGCTGCCTTCCCCTAGAAAGCCCTCTCCTCTTTTTCATTTGCTGTTACTAAGACGTAATTCAGAACGTTTTAACACCTCTAGCCCAGATGGTAAATACTCCAGTTGCATAGCTGGTGGGATGAGGAAGGAGCCACACCAGAGCGCTCTTAGAGAATATGGTTACCAGAGGATACGGATTTGCAGCCCTGAGAGGGAGGACACGCGCTTAAAGAGGGCGCACACCAGCCCAGGACCATGTGCCGGAAGTGCACCTGCCACTCCTCCGCCCCCAGGGGTCGGCCAGCAATCATAGAGAAAGTGTCTTGCAGATACCTTGGAACCTCCACAGCCTGATGCTGACCACTGAAACATTCCTTTATTCTTTCTTTCTTTCCTCTCCCCGCCGTTCCTTCTAGCTCCCGCCACCCCGACCACATTACCACATTTACCACATCCCTGGTCAAAGAGAGAGAGGGGGTAGAGAAACAAACCTACCAGAACACAATAGCTAATCCCCACAGCTGCTCAGAGGCTTAACAGGCTCCTGTTCCCCCCCACCCCCCACCCCCACCCCGCGCTTCCTCCCTCCCTCCCTCCCTCGGATTCACAGTCTCCCCGGCCCCACTTAAGCATAAAGGAAATAAATTGTTGCCAGCTTTGTTGTGTGTTGGGGTTCGCTGTGGACAGACAGCGTTTTCATGTTCTCTCCTCTGTTGACAGTGACGGCGCGGGCAGGAGTGGCACCTACGTCCTGATTGACATGGTTCTCAATAAGATGGCCAAAGGTGAGACTGCTTTGTTGTGGCGCGGAGACAGGATGGGGTTGCTATGGCAACGCGGGGTGTCATATTCGCAGGAGGCCTTGGGAAAAAAAAATTAGCCCATTGTGGTCCCTGTTCCTGAATCATATTAAGGTGATTTGCTGCAAAGCGTGTTTGGTTTTTGAGGTCCATCCTTTGTGATCAGCCTGAATGCACGGGGCACATAGTAGGTCCTTGATGAGTCTTTTGTTCCCCGCGTGATGACGGGAGCATCAGAACCGAAGGGATGCAGACTTTGGGTCTGTAATGGTGCAGCAGCTCAGAATATCCTTACACTACTGTGGGTCCCTCTCGGCTGCTACAGAAACAATAGGAGGTAGGTGTGAAGTCACACTCAAAGGCTCTGTAGTGATTGTCTTCAAACATAAATCACCTCTCTCAAACACCTCTTGGCGCTGTCTGCTGATGGCACCTGCCGGGAGAAGTCTCTGTGCCATTGGAGTTTCCCTGTCCGCGACGCCCCCAGGGCTCTAAGGCGGCAAGGAGCACCCCGCACGGGCGGGATGTGCACCACAGCCCTGCCCTCAGCTCCCGGGCTGGCCCGCCCGCCGTGGGTTTTAGTACTTTGGGCAAAGCATCCAACCCCCTCCCTGGGGCCCAGTTCCGCTGGACAAAAAGTGAGTGTGGGGGGTCGGGCCGCTCTGCACGTCTCAAACGGTGATCTAAGGGACACCAGAGGTGCAAGGTCACCTCGCTAACGTGTCCACAGCCAAGTGAGTTCGGGAAAAGAGCCCCCAGTCTGCCTCTTGCGTGATCATGATAAGCATTGGCAGATAAAGGCCTGAAGAGCCCGCGGTGAGTAAACTCTCCAGCGCGTTTGCTCAACTGACTTGAAGAGACACTTGGTTTTCCTTGTGGCGCCTGTCAGTGTCCCATGGGACTCGGAAGTCCACCTGAGAGTAAAACATTCTATCTCAACACACACACACACACACACACACACACACGGTCTTCCAGAAGTTGGTGGAAAATATGTATCATAAAAAAAAAAGATGTAGGGCTTGAAAAAGATTTTTGCACCACAGTAAACTTATCTTTCAATTGCAGTTTTCTAGGAACTTTGTGCTTGTATAGAGGCCCCCACCTTCCAGAAGACCCCGTTCTTCATCCTTTGCCCAATGATAAGAGATCTTGACTATATAGATGAGTGCCTATGCAGTGCACACAAACGCCAGCAACTCTAAAAAGAGGCATTTCCCTTACTCCATTTCCTCATGGCTAAAAAAGTAAAGTAGACGACATCTTTAGCCCTCCCTGGGTAAAGCTGACGGAAGATAAAGCAGTCGTCGGTGGCTTCCCCCAGCGCCAGAGAGCTGAGCCAGGTCATCTAACAGCCTGCATGGAATGACCGGGCACTGGGACAGAAACCCCAGCTCTGCACTGCACACTCCCCCGCCCCATGGCTCCAGGCTCTGCTGGCTTCTGGGGAGAAAAGGAAATTGGTTTTTACACCAACAAATATTGTTTTAAGTGCCGTAACTCAGCCTAGTGGCTGGAATGTATGAACGCAAATACTTCGGGATGGTGTTCCAGCAATAGCTTTGGTCTTTAAAAACTCTTAACTTTTTGGGTTTTTTAAAAAAAAGTTCCTATTTCGCTTGTCTGTTAATGCTGCTCTCTCATCAAATGTCGTCTTTCCCTTTAGAACTGCAAAGCTACCCCCCCACCCCCACCCCCGCGCGCAGTGTCCCTCTCTCGCACACAGGTGCATTCCTCAGAACAATGCAGGTCCTTTTATTTGGGTGTGGACCCGAATGCTCCTGTGTTTGTACACAGTGTGCCGAGATACTAGCCTTGGTACATCAGTTACTTGTGCAAAGAAAAGAAGCCCAGGCGGAGGCCATGGGGTAGAACTTGGGCTTGCAGTCCCGGGCCTGGGGATACCACCACCCCCACCCCGGGCCGGGCGGGGGCTGGAGGGGGTTGGGAGGGGAGGGTGGAGTGTGTGTGTGTTGGGGGGTGACGTAATCATCCGAGCACCGAGGCGGCCATTGGCCGGCTCCACCGTAGCGTGGGATGTCAAATTCCATTTTAAGTGGGGGCTCAGCGCGCAACAATGTGAGGTCAGCCATGTGGAACTGGCCGAGGGGGCAGGCTCAGGGCCTTTTCTGAGATTGGTCACCCCTCTTTTCTGTTCCTGACCTGCTCCCCTTCCCCAGGAGGGGGACTGTGTGGTGTGAAAGCCCCTGACCCAGGGCTGGGCCCTTGGTCTCAGGAGAGATCAAAGGGCAGGCGGCCCCTCCGCCGGCGAGGTGGGCCTTTCCCAGGCCGCCGCCCCGAGAGGCCGCCCGGGTTTTGTGCCGTGCGGCCGGGGCCCGTCTTTGTCTGGCCTGAGAAGCGTTGCAGACCCGGAGCTCATCAAATGATCAAAGGCCCCAGGCCCTGGACGTGCAGGCTTTCTTCCCATTTCCCTTTCTGAAAAGCAATGAATTGCTCAGGCCCCCGCAAGAATACCTCCGCAAAGCCGGGCTGCGCGCCGCCGCCCTGCGCGCCGCTCCGAGCGCCCAACCCCGGCGCGCACGGCCCGGCTGCAGCCGCTCAGGGATTAAGGCCCCCGGGCCCCGGGGCAGGGCTGCAAGAATACACTGGGAACAATTGAAGTGCTACTCTCTCCGCTGTCTAGTTTATTAGCGAGTAGACAATGATGCAGCGCGAGATTAAAATGGATGGGCGCGCTCTCTGCCAAGGGGTCGCAGGCTGTGAGACGGCTCTGCACAGATCCTACGCTGCGTTGGAATTCGGGTGCAGGGACCATACTGTCCTCTCTTTGAAGGGCTTGGCTTACATTTCACTCACATGCAGCCAAAAAAAAAAAAAAAAAGAAAGAAAAAGAAACACTTTTCCAGCCAACATATTTTCCCAATTTTATACTTTTTTTTTAACTTTTTTACAGTTTTTGCCAGGGAAATCTCTTTGCCCAGTTATTTTTTTTCTGTTGCAACATAATTTATTTTTATTATTTTTTTTTTATTTTTTGACAGGCAGAGTTAGACAGTGAGAGAGAGAGACAGAGAGAAAGGTCTTCCTTCTGTTGATTCACTCCCCTAATGGCCACTACGGCCAGTGCTGCGCCGATCTGAAGCCAGGAGCCAGGTGCTTCCTCCTGGTCTCCCATGCGGGTGCAGGGCCAAGCACTTGGGCCATCCTCCACTGCCCTCCCAGGCCACAGCAGAGAGCTGGCCTGGAGGAGGAGTGACCCGGGCAGATTCCGGCGCCCCGACCGGGACTAGAACCCGGGGTGCCGGCGCCACAGGCGGAGGATTAGCCTATTGAGCCGTGGCGCCTGCCACAACATAATTTTTTTTTAAGACCCAATTGGCTGACCCTCCCCCAGCTTCTCTCCCATCCCGGACCAGCCTAGAAATCCCACTATTGAGAAAGGGTCGCCATGTTCACGGAAGCATTCCCACCCAGAACCGGGGTCTGTAAGGGTCTCAAGATGCCGGGCTGCCCGGTGCCGAGCAGACACGGCCCAGCCCGCCAGCGGCTGCTGGTGCTGAAGACCCCCACAGTTTGTTTGGGAGAGCCTCATACCTTGTCGGAGGTGGGCTGCAGACGGGGAATCGCATTGTCCCAGTGCGTCTCTGGCCCTTGATGCCCAGTGTGCTGGGAGTTGCTAAATGCACATGAACCAAGTTACCCAGTGGTGCTAAGGTGCAGATGGCAGGGGGCGGGAGGGGGGGCTGTGTGGCCATCGGTCCGGCTCCTGGCCCCTTGCACAACAGCCCGATGTGATTCACAGGTTCCTGCCCCGGGGAGTGCTGGAGGACACACACGTCCTTGCAGGAGGAGGCACGTCGACTCTATCCCACTCCGTGGGCGTGGCTCCTATGGGGCCTTGTGAAGTGTGGGGTCAGGCCCCGTTTGTCCTGGCGTGCCTGGCGTATGTCCCTCAATTTCACCCATGTGGCAGCAGTGCCAGAATTTCTTCTCTCCTGTGAGTGGATACTGCCCCATTGCATGGAGAGCCCACATGTTGTTTCTCTGTTGAGGGACCTGTGGGCTGTCTCCAACTTGCGGCTGTTGTGACCAACACTCCCACCTAGAGAGGTTTACAGATTTCTGTTTCAACCCCTGCCATCAGTCCTTTGGTGTGGATGCCTCAAGGTGGAATTGTAGATCTCACACGTGGCGATTCCACATTGAACTGTCTGAGGAATTCAGCAGTGGGCAGAGGGTCCAGTTGGCGCCCACTCTCACTCTGTGGCATTTTCCTGAAAACAGCCGTCCTAGTGGGTGTGCAGTGGCATCTCATTGTGGTTTTGAGGGTCATGTTTCTGGCAGCCGTGATGGTGAGCGTCTTTTCGTGGGTCTGTCGGACGTTTGTACTTCGTCTTTGGACACGTGTCTCTTCAAATCCTTGGCTTATTTTTAAATTGGGGCCATTTGGTTTTTGCTGTAGGAGCTCTTTGTATATTCTAAATCATAATCTCGTATCACATGTGAAACGTACAGATATTTTCTCCATCCTCTGGGTTTTCTTGTCACTGTCTTGACCGTGTCCCCTGTTGCACAGAAGTATTTCATTTTGATGAAGTCCAATTTATCAAGAATTTTTTTCCCTTAAAATTGCATTTCCTTTGTTACCGGTGTTTTCGGTGTCATATCCAAGAGAACTGTGCCAAACCCAAGATCATGGCGATTTTCTCTTGACTTTCCTGTAGGAGATGTTGGTTTTTAATAGCAGGTCCGAGGAGCAGATGGCTCAGAGAGACACTACAGGGCAGAAAGGGTCAAACAGCCTAGTTGAAGACAACCATCGTCTATGGGCTTAAGTGTGTGTACATCACGACTCGTCACTTCCTGTGTGTCATAGTGACCCAATGGCTCCCTCAAGCAGCATTTAAGGCTCGTTGAATTTTTTAAAACCCACACCCCCTCCAGAGGTGCCCCATTCCATACAACAGGTTGCTTAAATGAAGTAAAATGGAATAAAATTTGAAAGTCAGCTCCCCAGTTATACC